CTCACAGAAGCCAGTATCATCAATGTCGTTTGGGTAAAAATTCAGGATAGCAACCATGGCTTTCAAACCAGGACTTACCTGTTGTAATCATACTGCCGGCATTCGAAACAAACCTACCCGAAACTTACCATATTCTGCAATGGAAAGCCTGACCATGGCTCTGCACCACACGCCTGCCACAACAACTGCTCTACTCACTACAGGAATGGTCGACAAATCTCAGTTTTGGACTAGTTCCTTAATTAACGCCTGTTCCTTAATTAACGCCAGATCTGTAAGCTTCATCCTCCCACAAGATACACGTTGGAGTTATAGGTTTCCCTGAATACAGTACGTACATACCTATACTTACACCAATAAATAAATCTGTATTTATAAATTCAAGTGCCGTAGACCTATTACAAAGCAATTAGAATATTAATTAGATCGATACTGACACCCCCTCCCCCCACCCCTTTCCCCAAAGCCATTATCAATGCAAATAACATCAAAACTGCTACCAAAGAAAAGATACTCTATCCCACACATCCTGACCACTATCACCTTCTTACATCATAATACTTTAAACTAAATACACTCAGTTACCCACAACAATCTACAATAATAATAAATAATAAATAAAAATTATAATCTACAATAATAATAATAATAATGACAATTAATCCTATTTAAGTCAATACTATAATCTCCCTCCTTCTTTCTCGTCTTGTATATCTCTTCTCTCAATATATTACAATCCATACTCCCTATTTCTAATATCAATCATATATTTTTTCTTTCTTTCTTTCTTTCTTTCTTTTTTATTATTACTATTATCATTATTTCTCGCTATTACTTAACATGCAAGTCACACTCACCTTATCTTCCACGCTCAACCTCAGCCTATTTCCACCTTATTCTCTTATTTCTCGAAGAACCACGATAACCTCTGCCACGTGGAATTACTCAAACGCCCACGCCATTCCTCGCCAACGCCAAAAACATGTTAAAAAATGAGTGTAAATCGATGTTTATTAAGAACCTGTGAGTGGGAGGGTTATGTGTTGGGCGTCGCGTTCACGGCCGGAGAGGCACGCTGGCCCGCTTTCCCTTGACAAATATATATACATATACATATATATATATATATATATATATATATATATATATATATATATATATATATATATATATATATATATATATGCACACACACACGCGCGCGCGCATGCACGCACTCACGCACCCACGCAAGCACGAACGCAAGCACACACTCATACTCTCTTTCTCTTTCTCTCTGTATATATATATATATATACATATATATATATATAATATATATATATATATATATATATGTATGTATATATATGTATACATATATATATATATATATATATATATATATATATATATATATATATGTATATATATATATATATATATATATATATATATATATATATATATATATATAGAGAGAGAGAGAGAGAGAGAGAGAGAGAGAGAGAGAGAGAGAGAGAGAGAGAGAGAGAGAGAGAGAGAGAGAGAGAGAGAGAGAGAGAGAGGGGGGGGGGTGAAAGAAACAGAGAAAAAAATATATATATATAGAGAGAGAGACAGTTAAACAGACAGAGACAAACTGACTGAGACAGACAGATAGACAGAGACAGCCAGATAGACAGCGAGAGACACAGACAGACACAGACACACACACACACACACACACACACACACACACACACACACACACACACACACACACACACACACACACACACACGCACACACACACACACAGGAACACAAGAAACAAAGAGAAAAGAATGAGAAAAAGAGATTTAAAAAAAAAACAACTTATCTGAAACGTTCCCCTAAAACCCCTAAACCTCCACAATCTTATCTCCCTTATCAAAGAAAGACGGCCTCTCGTATACACACATATATAGCCACCTTTTCCTGACCCCATCTCCGTTTTCCTTTTTTCCCTCTCTCCTATTCTCATTCATCCTCTCGCTTTCTCTCTCTCTTATTATATATTTTTTTTCCATAGTTCCCCTTCCCCCCTCTCTTTTTTAATCCCCCCCCCTAGTCCCCCTTCCCCGTTCTCCCTTTTTATTTTTTTTTCCATAGTCCCCCTTCCCCCCCTCTCTTTTTTAATCCCCCCCCCTAGTCCCCCTTCCCCGTTCTCCCTTTTTATTTTTTTTTCCATAGTCCCCCTTCCCCCCTCTCTTTTTTAATACCCCCCCTAGTCCCCCTTCCTCGTTCTCCCTTTTTATTTTTTTTTCCATAGTCCCCCTTCCCCCCTCTCTTTTTAATCCCCCTCCCCTAGTTCCCCTTCCTCGTTCTCCCTTTTTATTTATTTTTTTTTCCATAGACCCCCTTCCCCCCTCTCTTTTTAATCTCCCCCCCCTAGTCCCCCATCCTCGTTCTCTCTCCCCCTTCCCCCCTCTTTTTCTTTCTTAATCATTCAACAAGAGAGGAAATGTATCTTAAAAACCAGCCCAATCCAGAAGAGTCAGAAACGTTTTGTTCACATGAAGGGATAGTAGGGGGGGGTGTGAGGGTGTCTATTGCACCACGTTGCCCCTGAATGTTGCAGGGTGAAAGGGTTTAAGTATAGGGCAGGAGGAGATACCGATACCCAGTCGCGTAGTGAAGCGAAGACGACGAGGATACCAAAGGGGGGAAAAAATGGAGGATGTTGGAGTATAGATAAGAAAGAGGAGAAAGAGGAGAGGATGACGAAAGAGAAAGAAGAGAGAAAAGAGGAGAAAGAGAAAGAGGAAGAAAGGAGAGAGATGGAGGGAGACTTTGAAGTGATGGATTGCCAGAGTCAGGTAAGTGAGACTGAAAATAGACCGATAAGGACAATGCGTAGTATAAGGTAGTGACAGAGTTGGGTAATTTGGGTAATAAAACCTACATGAAATGAGAGAACAATACAAACCAAGGCAAAGTTTTTCTTTTCTTTTTCTTTTTCTTTTTCTTTTCTTTTTCTTTTTCTTTTTCTTTTCTTTTCTTTTCTTTTCTTTTCTTTTCTTTTCTTTTCTTTTCTTTTCTTTTCTTTTCTTTTCTTTTCTTTTTCTTTTCTTTTCTTTTCTTTTCTTTTCTTTTCTTTTCTTTTCTTTTCTTTTCTTTTCTTTTCTTTTCTTTTCTTTTCTTTTCTTTTCTTTTCTTTTCTTTTTATTATTATTATTATTATTATTATCATAATGATGTTGAAGTGAGGACAACAGAGATAGAGAAATATCAAGAGCATGATATATAATAATAATAATAATAATAATAATAATAATAAAATCCTGAGCAAATAGCCTTAAAAGAATAGATAAGACAAGTAATTTAAAAGATTTTAAAAATCCGCCCAAAGTCTATTTTCTCTTTTCTCTTCTCTTCTCTTCTCTTCTCTTCTTGAGCCTGCAATTGCTACTGAAGCACAGGCAAAGCTTGCATGACCCCAAGCGTTCCCGTAGACCCTAAGCTAACAGACTTTCATCGAGCTTTTGTACTTGTCATACGCATTGTCATAGAGGAGACGCGCGGTTCTCGAGTTTCGGCATTTGCTGGAGCACCGGAGGCGTGGCATCGGCTCAGGACAGGCCAGAGGAGACTTTAACCCATTCGCGCCGGGTGTCACGTATAGGTGACATGCCCACTGTGAGTTTAATTGTTTAATTGTTTTTTTACACATAGAAGGCTACACTTGTACTTGTACTGCCTGTCTCGCCCGTTTACCATTTTCTTTAATTTACGAAAATGCTTTACGTTATCTTATTTTGCTGTTACTAATGTTTATAACATTATGGTAATTATAACGTTTATAATAAAAATAACTATCAATATTTGTAGCACTAGTAAGAGATACATTTTCCCGCCAAATGAAATAACGTAAGGTAGAGCCATCTATGTGTAGAGACATTTTGCAAAGAGTATAAAAAAAAGTGAGCACAGCATTTTCCCCATTTTATGTTCATTTTTACCCGTCGCAAATGGGTTAATTGAAAAAAAAAAAATTAAAAATAAAAAAAAACATGTTAATTAGTCCAGCTCAGTGACGTTAAAACCCATTAACATCATTGAGGTTGGGAGTGATTGCGAAATTGAATTTATCTCATTTACATTAAAAAAATAAATAAATGAATAAAAAGTTCTGAATGGAATGCACTGCTAAGCATGTAAATGTAAATATGCACTGTGCATTTTCGAATATTGCAAGATTAGACAGAGCATTACGCAATAATGAAATAACAGATGATATAATAACATAAGATAAAGATGAAATAACAGAAATAATAATATCTATCTGTTAGCGTTTGCCTGAGGGCCAGAGATGCCAAATCCATGACATTTGCTTGAATCAATTGCAAGTGAATCTTCAATAAATGGTTGTAAGGTTGATAAATGATTAAAGATTATTCTGAAGACATTATTATTCTTATTGTTATTACTATTATTATTATTTATACATGTTACTTAGCATGGACTGTCTCCTTACGTTCCCTATGTACATGGTCATCATTTCAAGACATAATTATTATTATTAAGATATTATTATCATTATCATTTCAGGACATTTATTATAAAGTCATATTTGTTAGTATTATCATTATCATTTCAAGACATAAATTTGAAAGATTTACTACTTTTTTTTTTTCTTTAATTTCTTTTCATTACCAGTATACAAATTATGTCCTTGTACGTAACTCCTTTCCTTTTTCATTTTCAGGAGGATTATGGGGCGTATCTACAGTCTCCCATATTGTATTTCCTTAGAAATGTCTGTGGTCCGGCATTGGCCAGGTTATTTGTTAAGATTTTTAAGAAGTCAAAGTACGTTACAGATCGTGTTAATGTTAATGGTAAAACCAGCCCTAATACTAATGATCAAATTATGGATATGAACCTTTATGAGTTGTTGAGAAAAGTTCACAATAAAGGCAAAAGGATTGAAGAGAAGAAGAAAAATAAGGCTAATGACTCGCAGAATTCCTCAGTCTTGAAGACCTTGCACTTAAACAACCTTGGTACCAATGCCGACATTTTGGGTAGGGTAATGGTAAAAGATCTCCTGGATGACAACCCAAATCAATCCAAGATAGAATGGGATCTGTCGCAAATCGACGTGACCTTTCTCTTGAATGTCCTCACAAATGAAGTCCTTGGTTGCGACTTGGATCTCGACCCCCTCCAAGTCATGAAGAGTATCAGGAACAAGGTTTTCCACTCTGGCTCGGGCACTGACTGCACGGATATCAACTTGGACAAGCTTTGCGAAGCAGCCAAAAAGTTGTATGAGTACTTAGGTGAATCAGTTGATATTGATGCAAAGAGGGAAGAGTCTCTGAGATTTTCGCAACGCTTGGACAAGTTGGCCGTTCACATAATAGGTCAGTACAGACAAATGATTTTGTTTGTTTGTTACATATAAGTTTGAGTTCACTGCCTTTGAAAAGCATTTGGATTTCATTTATATTTTCTTTTCTTTTCCTTTTTCTTTCTTTCTTTCTTATATGTGTTGTTTCTTCCATTGTCCCTTGAGAATACTGCAGGCTTATTGAGAAATAGATCTGACCCTTTTTCATATGAATTTCCCAATTAGGGAATTTGTTAAACTTTCTTTTATAGAGTTGGCATTAAATTTTCCTTTCTAGAGATACACAAGCTCTTGCCATGCTATTCAAAACTTCTTGATGCTGCTTTTATCGGCTGGCAATTTTTACAAGAACACAAGTGTCTTGCTCTACTGCATTTTGAAGATATATAGGTCATTTTGCATTCTATTGTAGTAGTATTCATATTAAGAAGCCATGTGCCTACCCTGTATGTGGATTTACATAATCCCTGTCAGTTATTCTCCAGCAGTAATCAGAAATATTTCCGAAAAGCCCAATTTTCTTGTGCTTTTTATTTGACCAAATATTTTCACAAATGGTTTTAACAATGCAGTTTCTTATTCTCTTAAGAAATGAAGATATTCTGAATCTGGTCTTTATACATGTAAATGTTTTTTTTTTGTTTTGTTTTTTTTGTCTTTATTGTTTTCTTTCCTCTGTAATGTCTGTTTTGCCATTTCAGTGAATTGTGCATCCTTTCATTTCGATATGTGAATAAGTACTGGGGTAATTTTTTATACTTATCTTACATTGTATTCTCTTACTGATTAATTTTCCAGATGACTTGAGAAAGGAAATCACTCTGAAGTATGAGAATCCTGACCATGCTGTCCTCCTTTCGGTCATCGATACTGGGTAAGTCTTAGTCCCAAAACCGACCAGTATTTTTTTTTTTTTCTTCTTTCCCCTCTTCTTCCTCCTCCTCCTCTGTGTGTGTGTGTGTGTGTGTGTGTGTGTGTGTGCGTGTGTGTGTGTGTGTGTGTGTGTGTGTGTGTGTGTGTGCGTGTGTGTGTGTGTGTGTGTGTGTGTGTGTGTGTGTGTGTTTGTTTGTCTTTCCTTATCTAATTGTATAAAGTTCAGAAGGACATAGATTAGCAAAACTAAAAAACTAAAAAAAACAACTAAAGATAAAAATTAAAAATTCAGAGTGCATTAATTTGAGAGCACAAAAAGGATTGGAATGGCTGAAAAAGTATGGACTTCAAATTGCTGCAAAGATTTGTCTTCCTTAAGAAAAGGCCTTCATCCTTCAGAAAAGTTTTCCTTCAACTCGGCCATTGTATTAGCATTTCAACGTAATGCGTGACTCAAATTGCCCTTAATGCGAGCCAAGATATAAAATGCAATTGGCTGTCTTGCTGTTGCAGTATTGCAGCTACTGTTTTGTAAAAACAGAGGATATTTGCAAGACATGATATACTCTTAATCAAAATTGCTTTGGTGTTATATCAAAGGTTAGTTATGTGTTTCTCACTTAGTTAACTTATTCATAGTTTTTTTCTTGTAGGTTTTATGCTACACCATAGTTTGTTCAATTTTAATATATACGAGGCCCCACCTCCTCACGATTGATAGATAATAATGATATGTATATAGATAACATAGATAATAACTTGACTCTTAATTTGAGCATTAGCATTTCATCTCTTCCTGTTTAGAGTTTTCACCAATTGTGATTTCTTTTCATATGCACCACTGGTTGCAATAATACTAGCATATATGGATAGAATGTTTAGAATGTAGTTGAATTCCCAGGCTCCAAATTTATATAATGATTGAATTTCCAATTAGATTATAGTTGAATTTCCAGTTTCCGTGTTTAGATTATAGTTTTGATTTCTTTTCACATATACCACTGACTGCAATAATACTAACATATATGAATAGAATGTTTAGATTATAGTTGAATTCCCAATTTACATGCTTAGATTTTAATTGAATTTCTAATTAAATCATAGTTGAATTTCCAATTTCCAAGTTTAGATTATAGTTGAATTTCCAATTTCCATTATAGATTATAGTTTTGATTTCTTTTCACATACACTTCTGGCTGCAATAATACCAGCATATATAAATTAAATGTTTAGAATATAGTTGAATTCCCAATTTCCAAGTTTAGATTATAATTGAATTTCCAATTGAAACTATAGTTGAATTCCCAATTTCCAAGTTTAGATTATAGTTGAATATCCAATTTCTGTTCAAGGAAATTGGCTTCACTGATTCACATTTGTTTTTCTTATTAATTATATTTGTGGTCAGATAGTCTAATAGTGTTAATGAATAGCGTTTCTTTCATCATTTTAGGTTGATTCTTTCTCCTTGTTATATGAGGTTTCTTCATCTTCCATATTTCCTTGCATTCTCCATGGTTGGTTCTCTTTTCTTTTTCTTTTACTTTTTTTTTTCTAGTGTCTTTTTTTTTCCTTCTTTCTCTTCTTCTTTTTCCTGCTCGTTCTCCTTCTCCTCTTCCTCTTCCTCCTCCTTCTCCTTCTCCTCCTCCTCCTCCTCCTCCTCCTCCTCCTCCTCCTCCTCCTCCTCCTCCTCCTCCTCCTCCTCCTCCCTCCTCCTCCTCCTCCTCCTCCTCCTTCTCCTCTTCCTCCTCCTCTTCCCTCCCCTCCTCCTATTCCCCTCCCTCCTCCTCCTCCTCCTCCTCCTCCTCCTCCTCCTCCTCCTCCTCCTCCTCCTCTCTCTCTCTATTGCTTTTTCTCATCTTTCTTTCCTGTCAGAAATCTCACTATTTATTTATTTATTTATCTCAATCACAATCTCAGTAATAATAATAATAATGGTAACAGTAATAATATTATTAGTGTTAGAATAAAACACAATTTTACCAGAAACTCAAAGAAGGGGATATCAGGTGACGTGCAAATTAATTTCTTGAAATAAATTTTGAAATCTTGAAATAAATTTTGTTATGGAAAGTTTTCATAGAGTTTGATAGCCCTCTTATATTGTTTAGTGGAGTGTCAGAATGTAGGAATTCTTGTAGCTTGGTACAGTGTTGTACAAGTAATTAAAACCAAATAGAGTTTATTATGAAATGTTGAGAGAAATATAGATATAGTAGTGAAACCTTTCACTAGACATAATGAATTATTTAGTATTAGTCTGTGAGTAAGTTAAGCAGAATTACAAAGCATCTCATTCTTAGCTTAGAGTTGCTTTTTAAATGCGTAATAATCTTTACCTTTTCTTATGGTGTGTAGAGTCTATTTTCTTCTTTTATTTTGCAGATGTCAGAGTAAAGTAAAAAGTATGCACGAGTATATTAAGGACCTTGGCCGAATACCTAACTCGCAGAGGAATCCCATCATGATGTGTGGAGCCTCAGGAAGCGGGAAAAGTTCCATCCTACAGAGTGTTGCTTCCTCCATGTGTCGGGAGGAAGAATCTCCTTTTAAGTTAGTTTTATACTTGAAACTGTACAGTGATCCATGTGAGACATTCATTTGGGAAGGTATGTTAAAATGTATTACAGAGCAGTACCCTAAGTTAGTAGAGAAGTATGATATTGCATTGATATTAGATGCCCTTAGAATGTATGCAAATGAAATTTTGTTTCTAGTTGACTGGAATATAAAGCATGCTGACTTCATTCCACTTGCAAGCATGGTGAATGGGGCATGGGTTGTTACATATCAAGGTGAGTGTGAGAGTTCAAGCGCCTTTCGGATGCTTCAGTTGAAACCTCTTACTGAAGATTTAGTACAAAACATTTTGAAGAGTCTGAATGAAAATGAGGGAGAGGTGAAGTACATGTTGAAATTATTTGAAGAATGTAAGTACAAAGGCATTTTAGATACGCCTGAAATGGTGAAGATTTTCAATGAAGTCAGAAAACCAGTTCCATGTAAAGAAATGTTAGAGTATTTTATTAAAAAGAAAATTGGATCCATTGAAGCAGATGATGACCTAGAATTAATTGAGGAGCTTGCATTTAATAAGATAATGAAAAATGAGGGGTTCTATAAAAAGGAAGAATTAACGTCTGTAAAACCTGAAATACAGGACTCGTTTTTCTTAAAGGATGCCAAAGGATTATCATTTAGATATAGAGTTATAGAGGACTTATTTGCTTCCAGATATGTACGGAGAAATGAAGAAAAAGCTGAAACAATGTTTAAAGAATACCCATCTCAGATTCCTATGTTGAAAAGAATAATCAGATTTACCTGTACTTTTTGGTGTCAAAATAACATGATAGGGAGCAAGGTATCTTTCATAAAGCCATATCTTTACAAAGTTTTGAATGTAGAGGCTAAATTAGGGAAAAAGAAATCAGCTAGAAAACAAAACGCCAATGATTCTGAAACATGTAGGTACGAGAGTGCTTTCACAAAGTGGTCATACCTTGTTAATTTTGTCGAAGCCTGTGGTCACAGACAAGAAATTTTAGATCTTATTGCTGAAATCATTGCTCAGAAATATGTTTGGCTATTCAAATGCAAATTCTTAAATGAAGAAAAAGTTCCTGTAATAAAGCAAATCCTAGAAAATGTGAAATATAAGAGACGAGTAATGGTCAGATTGGAAAGTGGCATGAAATGTGAAGTTTTGAATTCGTTGTTGAATGTGCTGGGGAACCTGCCATTAAAAAATGAAAAAATGTCAGTCCAGAT